AGTTAAATCCGGGGAAAGCAAATAAGTCGACATTAGTATTGCTTAGCGACTTCCTAATTAAATCGCCCGAATAAGGCCGGGAAATGGGCAAAATATTCAAATTGATTCATTTTCGTTTGACTCCGGTTCATTCATTAGAATACGTTAATGAACATCTTTATCCGCCCTGCCCTTTTGTTTCGACTTTGAATCGATAATCGGATGGATATTGAAACAATTTGCAGAAAGGCAATCCGCCATTAAAAAATGCTCCCTATATTACAGACTATGGAAGAGAAGGTCTCATTTTCGACGTGGCTTAAAATTCGCAAATTTTATGAGATTTTAGTAGTTTTGTTGGTTTATTTTTGCTAAATTTGTTATCACCATCTAGTCGATTTAAATTGTTATTTTTTTTATTTTCTTTTAATAATAATAATAATAATAATCATTTATTGTCTAACAGATTCTACATCCATTTACAAGACAATCTGACAAGCATATGATACATAATTTAAATACAACACACTTGTACTCGTACCTTAGTGCCTATGCGTGGTACAATATCAATTGCCTAAACAAAAAATTTTGTTTTGAGAATGTTTGATAACTGATTACAGGAGAGGTTGAAAATGTCAATATCACTACAACGGTCATTGAAAAGATACATAGCATTGTATAAGGGGGTTTTTATAAGGAAGTTTGTAGATGGGGTAGGCAAGTGGAAAATCGGTGAACCGCGGACAAATCTTTGAGGAACATGGAGAGGTAATTGCGTTCAGAGCTCCTGGACAGAACAACGGGAGTTCAAATCTTTCCAAAAGTAATGACTGTTCAGTACCCCGCGCCGTACTCAAACTTGGATCTGACATAGCTAAAAAACAATGCTTTGAGAGCCATTCAGGCGAAACTCTTTAACGTTACGAAATATAAAGCCCATCGATCTTATTGCATCTTTGCAAATGGTTTCAATATGAGAGGCAAAGGACAGTTTAGTGTCGTACAAAATGCCAAGGTCTTTGAAAGAGGTGCATCTGGTAATTGGAGTAGTTCCCAGGCTGTAGTTAAAAACTATCTGTTACAAAACGTCATCACAGAACACTTATCCGGATTCAGATGAAGATTGTTTGCCACACACCAGTTAATCAACGACTCCAGATCCCTCAGCAATGCTGTACAGCCGGCAATGCCCACCACAATCCTAATCAGCTTCAGGTCATCGGCAAACAACAGGGCGCAGCAGTTATGTGGTCGGCTATGTCGTTAACGAATAATAGGAAGATCAGTGGAGCCAGATTACTGCCCTGAGGTGTCTCGCTTGTGGCTATAAACCTCAAAGAGCGGTACTGATACTGATATCTATCCTGTAGATATGAAGCAAAAAAGTCTACCAGTTTATTGCTTCCCATTCCCTCAATCTTCTTCAGAAAGATAGCATGGTCAAATCTGTGTATAGTACATCAAGACATGTTAGATTGCTGGCAGTACTTCTATTGGTTAAGAATCCGTGTTATTTTTGGGTAATAACATGCTTCAATTGTCCATAGATGCACTCGTACACAGAAGGTGCTTGTTTCGAGATAGAGGTTATTATATGTAAGCGATAGGTCTAAGGAAAGCATTAATACAATCTCTGGCAACAAAGGATGGTACTCTATCTGGTCCCTGGGTAGCCTTATTTTTAAACTTCTTTGCTGCTCTTAAAATAGCTTCATCCGAGAGATAGCTTATGCTAATACAGGAATTGAGGTTTGTTTAAATTCCACAATATTTTATTGGTTTTTTAACTTGATAATGATTTAGACACTAATAAATTATACCAAATAGGAGAATAATGGAAAAAAAATTACAGACCTAGAAAATATGTAGCTGTCACATGAAGAAAATGCGTGCAAATTAATAAACTTTACAATTCTCAAATTAGTGTTTAAATAAAAACCAATTTAGTGTTCAAGAACAAAATCAAAAATTCATAAAATAAGCAAAAATGGATCTGGCTTTGTTTTGTTGCTTCATTTTGATAATGTTGTTAGGAAATCTCTGCTGGTCCGTCCCACTTGTTTTTATTTTTGTTTGTTTTGTTTTGTAGTAATGAATTTATATAATTTTTGGCGTTCTTAATTTTGTTCATCACATAGTTAATATTCGATTAGTCGCGTAGTGGCGAATGACCACAATAGGTCCTCGCAATTCGGCCAGTGCAGTTCGAAATTTGAGGTAAAAATATTCAGTAGATTCTTCTTTAACACGTTGCGAGAGGTATAGTGCCCGGGGAAAATCAATCGGTCATGTAGTATCTCCAACCAATATATCCCCAATCCCAACTAATTCACAGGGATAATGTTGGTATACATGCCGTTCTCTAATTTCTATTATTTTCGTCGAAATTTACTCTGTTAAATAATTAGACGTAGGTAGATTTTAGAAGAAAGTAAGATCGAACGAGTCACTTTCAAACTTTATCTACAGTAAACACGTTGCGAGCCACTTCCAGGGTTTCCGGTAGAGCTCTCCAGACGATATGCCATTTCTACCACCCTTTTATGGTTTTGACTACGAAATGAGTTTAAGACCCGCTTGTTGTAAAGCGGAAGGGGTATCTAAGATCTTAGGCGACAAGAACTGTACAGAAATTTCCTTTGATTAAACTGCTATATATTAATTCATATCAGTGTTCTTTTTGTGAATCTTCCTAACACACTCCCTACTTGAAGTAGCTCGATTTCAAATTGAATTTTCCCATTAGATTGTTTGATCTTCTATGTTATACATACGCTCGAAAGCTTAAACCGATGCCCAATTTAAACGTTTATCAAAATGACTCTAAAATATTTACCTAGGAAAGCAATACAAAATCTTTTGACGTTTTCCCACTTTGCTATTGGTTCATTTGCGGTGGCTGTCAGTTTTATGACACAGGATTTTCTTAGCCGTCGAAGCTTTAGTTATTTGTATTCCGTCTTGTGTTTGTAATTAGTATTTACCAACTTACTGTTATTCAAGACTCAGTGTGCCATTTTTATTGGGTTCCATATACATTTCATTACAATTTGTCCAATCCAATTTATTAAATCCGCCTGCTTTCAGCATTTGTATGCACGAAGTACCGAAGTACGGTTCTGGACCGTAATTGTGGAATTGCGAATGGTTACAAACTGTGATCGTATTTTGATATTTGCCATTTCTGATGCTTACTTTACTCGGTGAATGAATTCGTGCTGTTTTCCAAAAATGCACCTAAAAACTAATGACCGTGGAAAACGTATAGTATGCCAACATGTCAATAATCTTCTTCAGTCACTCGTTTATTAAGAACTCGTGACTAAAGTGGACTTAATCACACTTGTTGCATTACTATTAACGATATAAACTGTTGCTCTAACAACAACTATCCAATCCAATCATTTGGAAGACAATTATTTCGCGGGCAACCCGTCGGAAAATTGCGGCGGGGTTGGGGGACCTAAATTTAAAAATGCGCGGACATTTGCAAAGCGTCCGCCGCCAGCCTTCCCAATTGCGGTGCCAATGATTTATTGTAATAATTTCCCGGCACCCATATATGTATATAGAGACGGGCCCACTAATACAGACTGGCCGTAACAGGGGAAATTTCTAATTAGCGGTCAAGCCGTCTCGCAATATATCTGACAAACTTTGACCGACTTTTGCAGGCGTATTTCGCGGTTTTCCCCACGTTGTATATCGGAGGGGATTTTCACGAGAACTTTCCAACGCTCCACATTGTTCGTGATATTAAATAAAACCCCCCGCGATAGGCGATGTCTGCTATGTGGTGGCTGCTCGCTTGAATGTCAGTTGTGATCGCCACAGTGGTTCGATTATATGGGATATTGTTATATTCGGTTTATTGACCTATAACTCGCGCAGAAAAATATCAGAGTAAATCAACGAACAATTTTAGGGGCCGCCTAACGATAGGTGACACCTAAATTTCGTTTCCCAGACTACTAAAGTTGGTTCTGAACCACTCTAGTTGATATGGTCTGTCTCAATCTGTATCGTGCAGGTTTTTGCCCGCAATTATGAATGGTAATGAAATTCGGGTCCAGTAGTTATTAGAGGACAGAACATTAGGGACGGACTCATTCATAGGAATATCTATACATAATTACTTTTTTATTCTAAATGTCTAAATCTAATTGTTTCACTATCAGTCACTGCAATAGGATTTATGCCAGCTGTCAATTGGTATGTTATTAATTACATTTTTTATCAAATTTATAACACTGGGACTTAAAGTACGAGAAACATTTTCTGCTTTGACCTTAGATATTACTTAATGCCATACATGCTTTAGTGAGTTAAACATGCAATGATGTGGAGGAAGACGTAAAATGGTATGCCCACCCTGTTCAGACAAATTATGCGTGGTGATGCGTTTTCTTTTATTTGAAGGTACCTTCGTCTAACTCGTGGAAACTCATCCTTTGGATACAGTGTTGGGGAATGTTTCAACAAGGTAAATTATGAATCTGTTTTCTAATCTACATGTTTTAATTTCTTAAAAGCAATTAAATCTCTAATTGCGTAATTACTTTTCTTTTGCGGAACTTAAATCCCATTTTACAAACAACTCTATAGAGAGTGGCACGGTTTATATTTATACTGGTTTCATCTTCTCGCTCTTTTCAGTTCTTTTTATGCAAGGTAGGAACAACATCGCTTTGATAAAGATAAATTTTCATCTTATTAGGTACTGATCACTATCCTTTTCTTCAATTCTCCACTATTAATACTATCCCTTATCGACGATATTGGCGATTTTTTTAAGTAGGCATGTTGCTTTCGAAGCTTCTTGTTGAATAAGTCTTCAACGGATTAAAGTTTCATACACATTTTTCGCAACCTGTTTTGCATCAAGCGATAAATGATCTCGACGCGAAATTGTTATACGGTAAAATAATATTTTCGGAACGCACAGTAAAAACGATTATTCAAAATTGCCACAAATGGTAAACCACCAAGAAATATATCAGTAAGAAAGACTGCACCCCTACCTTGTCACTCAAGTAAGAATAAACTTTTGGTTAATGGCTTTTCCCAATAACAATAGGTAGTAACATCGTTTTATTGGGGAGGGTCCAACACGATGAAGATTGAGACATACCTGAATTAAGTTGCCCAATCTCTGTCACCTAACGCACGCCTAACAAAATCCAAACACAAAATTCTATTAAAGATCTGCGAGAAAACATTTTTTCTTGTCTACAATATTTACCATACCGTTAATATGGCCAATATAGTACAATATTTTTATACAAAATGTCCATCGTAATCCGGGCGTATACAAAATGCAGCTTGATAGGAAGTTAATCTAATCTAATCATGTGTTTTGCCAACATCGATATATTGAAAAATGAAACAAATTCGTATAGTTTTAATTTCGATTTAAAAAATGCATCGAAATATTTTTATTTCATTCTAAAATATTGCGAAACAAAAGCTGTTGTTATTTTTTAAAAGCTTTAAGTATGTTTTATTGTTATGATAATAATAAGCGAAACCTCCACCATGCGACGAGTGAGAGCGGAGAAATCAAGTGATTAAACGACGATCCTATTACGTCACCGGCGGGCGAAAGTTAATATTGAGCAGAAATGTTTTTTTTTTGCTCCCGTCTCTGCCTAAAATTAACACCCCGGAACTCGAGCGCTGCGCGGCACGTATCTCTTGCCGAAAGGTCACACATTTTAGCCCCCCTTAGAGCCGACAAATAAATGGCCACACATCCGACTTGCCGAAGCGGAGCAGATTTCATCAAAATATTGAGCGGAATTTTTATCATCAGGGCGAGAACCCCGCAGAAACCGACGACCATTTTTTATACGCTTAAATCCGCGCTTGATGGGACCCTCAAATACAACTCTACATCACACGCGACGGAAACGATGTCCTCCCCGTTCCCACCCAATCCCCATTCGACCGTTTTTTAAATCTTTTATAGAATCCTTGCTTGTCGTGACGCGTCCGGTTGTGAATGGACGGAATTCATTTTGTAGTTTCACGGCAATTTTGGATTAACAGTGCGGTGACATTTTCGCGAACTATGATCCCGAGGGTTTGCTCGTATATCCAAGTACGAGCAAACTCTTGCCATCCTTAATTCACAAATTCAAAAGCACAAAAGCCTCAGTTGCGATCCCAATTAAGAACTACACGCTTGCTGGGGCGTTTTAGTTTCAGTCGGCTCGCATCGGTGACTGCAAGCTCATCCCTTATTTATTTACACCTCGAATAACTCAGGCACCCTTTCCCGGACTTTTTGAGTTTGTCTTCATACCTCAAAGAAATTCCCATGCAAGATGGCTAAATGTTCCTCACCATTTATTACTATGTGGTCTGGATTTAAAATTTTCTAATTATGAGGCCTCAATTTTGTAGCCTTTATTTTTTTTTTTTAATTAAAAATATTGTTTTAAGTTTTTCGTTCTGTATGTACAGTGCTTACCAAAGTTGATGTTCCCCTACTCGTTATAATTGAAATCTGAAGTTTTATATACCAAAAAATTCGTTTTTATCATCACTCTGTAACTTTGAAACATGAAGAAATATTCAAATAGAAGATGTAAGAATAAATTTCTCATAAAAAATTAATCCCGTAATACTCATAATCATAATATTAATAAAAATGATGTCATTAAGATAACACAGTTGTCCCCTGGAGAACCAATAAAGATACCACCTTGGCACTTTTTTACGAGAAATTTGATAACATCACAAGCTAAATACATTTTTGAAAATACTACCCAGATCTCGATAGTCTCTTGGGGACATTAGAAAATTAAAAACCCTTTTGATAGATGGATTTTACGTAGAATTTATTAGGGTACACAAAAGGTTAGGTATAACCCCCACAAACCTATTTTATATCGAACACACTATATTTTTTGGTGCTATTAAATAATGCTTTTCTTTTCAATGACTTGCACACAGACACAGTCACTATCGTTTTGCTCTGTTTCTCTTCCTGATATCTCCTGTATATCTCAAAAGACCCAAAAACTGATATTCAGTATTCAGTTTTTTTTTCGAAACTCATTGAAACACATTATCAATTTTATGTTTTTAAAACCTGTTAACTGATTGCAAATAATCACAAGAATTTGGAAAAATAACATAAGTTTGTCCAATGGCGGTCGCGCCAGCTCGGGTCGTGTTTCCAAACTATGGCGTAGTAACTAAATGCACCTAATTTTTGTTAATACGGACCTTCGGTTAAGCAAAATACCATCGGAAAGCAGTTTGCAGGTCAGCAGTTTATAGACTTCCACCAGTCGCAGATATTGTCTGCCTAAATAAATGCAGATTGTGATGTACAAACGTTTTGTAGAAGGCGAGGTCCTATTAAATGCTAAGAATGCAATTTTTACGGGATCTACTGCTACAATCGGTAATTCAAGAGACATTTGTATCCAATCTTAACCAAAGCTGCTCATACAACCACATCTTTAAATATCTCGACATTGGATTTGGTTATCTTTTTTTTCTTTATGTAAGTTATATATAAAGAGGTCATAGACCAACCAGTTTTTGACTGAAAATAACCCAAACGTTCGGTCGATGACTAATTATTTTATTAAATAGTTTCTGTAAAAATATTTGTAGCTTTCTTAACTAAACTAAACTTAATCAAGAAATAACTATAACCTTACTTGTGCCAGGTATTTTGATTTCATGGTGATATTTTACCGATACAAAGATTTTTATGAGTTTCCAAAGAAGGTGAAAGTAATTCAAGCTTGGGGTCTAGAAGAATAAATAGATAAAAAAGCAACTTGAAGGCGCGATGCAAAGATGTCCTTTGTATTGTCGATTGCTGCAGCGGATCGAACCAAAATTGCATGCGGTAAGACCGCGCATTCCACAAAGCCTTTTCATATCATTATGAGGATTTAAATTGTAAAATGTACCTGCTACCCTTCAAATGTAGTTGGCACACAGTTGGAAATTAGTTGTGACCGTAATCGAAACTGAAATAGTTCAAATCGTCGTCGATACTGTTTTTTCCGGGGTAATTTGATTAACCGGCGGTCCATGCTAGTAAGAATTAGGTGACTACGCCATGTTTTGGAATAATGACCCGAGGTGACGCGAACGTCCTTACATCAAATAGTATTTTTTTAAATTGTGATTTTATGGATAAGTTTTAGCAGTTGAATCAAAATTGATCCAAGAAACTAGCTTTTGTAAAAATATATCTTTTTGCAAAATAAATGGAAAACACCTTTTTCGGTTTTGGAAATTTGAAAACGCAGAAAAATCTTTCGTTATCAGCTTTCCTTGAAGAAATGCTAAAAGAATGTCGAACTTCCATTGTCTTTATTTTTAACTTACACAACGTTTCGGACAGTTGTATCACTACCCGTTGTCAAGTGTAAACTAAACTTAATTCTAAGGCTACAAGGTTTATATACTAGGCGAGGGCGCTCATCCATGACGGAGTCTGGTGTGGTCAAGGATGAAGTTGTTCAACTAGAACGCCAGCATTGGTGCGCCTTATTAGAGGTTGCCAAAACTGCTTCTTTAAGTTTGCGCTTCCTCCAATGCTACTCTCTGTGAACAACCCGCGCCTGGACCATTGAATGTTGTGTTGTTTGGTCCACGCATGTTCTGCGATACCTGATTTTCGCGTTTCACCCTTCATTGTATGTTTCTTATGTTCTTCAACTCTTATTTTTAGAGGTCATTTGGTTTCGCCAATATATGCCTCTCCGCGTTCACAGGGTATCTGGTAGATACACCCTTTCTCTTGAGTCGAGGCTTTGTTTTTCTGAGTACACTTCTTAATGTTGATTCAGATTTAAATACAGTTTTAACTTGATGTTTTTAATATTGTTCAATTCGGCATCGAGAGATGCTTGGTCGCTACATATTGTGATTGCTCTTTTGCACAGTGTTTTAATTTAATTAATTAATAAATTTTAATTAAAAAAAAATCTATTTTATGCTTAAAATAGAAAACCATACAACGGACCTAGAAACTCAAGCAATTAGAATATGAGTCACAAGTAATTTAAAATTAGTTAAAACTAGACAATAAAATAATTAGTCAGCGATCAACGTCTGAACGACGGTAAATTATTTGCAGTTAAAAATTTGCAGTTAAACTTTTTGCGTATCATTAACGTATAAACCAGTGTTAACAGAAATTACATAAAACTAACAGAAATGGTAAGTAAATGCAACGTCGGGATAGGCAAAGATGTGGTTGTAAGTGCTACTTGGGAATATAATTTTATCGTATTTAGCATTAAAAGGCTGGCCGTGCTTTAGGCGAAGCTAAAAACTAATTAGTATTCTTTTCAACGAGTAAATCCTCGCGTTTTCGAAAGATTCGCCGAAAGCCGAGATTAACAAGTTTTTTTTTGTTCGACACCCGCGCCCCCGCCGTAATCCAAAATTCCGGACCCTTACATAAAACATCCGCGAGAATTTGCATAGCCGTAAATTACGTCCGAACTAATTCCGCTGGTTACTTTTTCTCCTCCAAGTAGCATAGCGACGTAGTCGGAAGTCTGGCAACAGCTGCGTGAGGCACTTGCCGCCTAATTTTTCATTTCGCAAAAGAAGATGATGTGCCTTCGTGTACAGCGCGAGGCCATTTATTCGTTCGGGATGACAATTGAGTTAAAGCGAGCGTCTCGGAATTGAATAACCCGATAATCATAAATCATACGCTGAGACCAACAAAGTTTGTCTAGAATCAACTGAAATTCAATATTTTGAACGGGAAAGCTTGAGAACTGCGCATTTTCATTTGGACTCTAGAAACCACTAAGAGAGGTATAGAGTTCTAAAAATAATCATTGACTACTAAGCTTCCTTAAAACCGATTGTACAGGTGGGACAACTCCTAGAACAGGTAGTACATTTGTTTTTCTGTCAATCGTTATAACATTTTAATATTAATTTCGGAATAAATTCGCCAAACAGTGTGATACTGCAAGACTGGTTTCGTTTATGACAATGAACAAATAAATTAAATCTCGTACTTCTAAGCGTGCAGATTGCCAGTAAGTATGAACCT